AATTCTAAAGTAGTCTTACTAATAAATTGGTTTGAAAACTATAAATATAGTTTATTTTTTATAAATTATAATATAATTATAATATATCTATATCTATATTATATCTATTCTAGTAAAAAAAAACTATTAAATCAAAGGTAAATAAATTGACATTTCAGATTTTGAGGGACAACAAGGAGTCCTGCCCGATTTTTCATTCCTCCACTACAACTAAAGACAGTTAGACATTTCTTTTCTGGGGAAAATTTAAATCCGTCGACACACTGATGGCCTCGACACAACACTTTTAACCCATTTGCTTTCAAAAACACATCCAACACATTATCATCAAAGAAGTACGACACACCCCTCACTTCATTGCGTACAAATCCTTTACTATTCGATGTGTTTGGTAAATTTGGAGCTATATCAGGGGTAAGGAGAGGGTCTGACCATACCAAGTCACACAACAATCCACTCGTTGGTATTTCAACAGGCCGTTTGATGTCTCTGAGTTGTTGGAGACTCGACAATTCGGGGGATATTCCTCCGTGGAGACATAGCATCGTCTTCGACACCAAACAACAGAATGGGAGGTACTGGAAGCTTTTGAATATAGTTAATACTATCGATTTGTCATAGTACAGTGCACCTTTCTGTTATCATACATGGATAATAAATTTATTATAAATAAACTAGCGTGGCTGTGGTGGCGAACACGGTAAACAGACAGACAAACATTGGCGCAAAAACGAGTTTTTAGTGTTCGATGAGACGTCGTAACTTTCGTGGTTTCCTCTCAAAAGAAAGATTTGCTTTGGTGATCGAATTTTGAGCGCGTAGAGCAAACAGATGACTTCGATTCCAAAATCGCCTCGATCGATATAATCCCCCAAAAACAAGAAAGGAGCAGACGGCAAAGTCGTTTTCGTTAATAACTTTACCATGTCAAAATATGACCCGTGGACGTCGCCAACTATATTCACAGGCGCGTCAAGTTCAATTAAACTCGGCTCTTTTTCAAATACTTGTGTCGCACCAGTCACAACGTCTACTATCTCTGATGCAGTCAACAGCGGACCTTCCTGTCCTTTTGTGAATGAAAGCAATTTTGTGATTATTGACGCTAAGTAATCCATTGGTATCACCACGTTCTCTTCTTCCATTGTTTATTTCAGTTGTTTTTTACTTCATATGAAAACAGTCCGTTATAAATGCTAAAAAATAATTAGAAAGTAGAATTTGTTGTATTTATTATAAAAGAGTTATACTTAGTAGTTATTTATATTAGCTGATATTCTTAATAGTTTTTTGGACAAAAAGCACTGAAAACGATGGGCTAAAAATATGTTAAATCCAAACGATGAAATTGATATACTTTTGACAAGTGAATTCCTCAATTATTAATAATCAAAAATATAATAAATATAGTATATTGTTAGTTAACTATAAACATTAATAACACAATTAAAAAATATCGTATAGGCCTTAAATCCAGGTAGGAATAGTAAAAATGTTATAAAAAATAGTTAAGGACAAAACAACCAAATCTTGAGTTAAAACTTAAGAGACGATAGCGGAAGCAGTGTTAGCGTCGTACTTGAATGAAGAGTCGACGACCTTAGTAGTCTTGTAATATCTGACGAGTCTGTGGATTTTGGATTCGGTCAAGATCAAATGGTACTTTGAAATTTTATCCTTCTTGTTTCTTTCCAAGTGTTTTCTGATAGAGACGGCTCTTTTCATGAGGAAGTACAAATCCTCTGGGAGTTTTGGTGCAAGACCAGCGAGTTTCAAGATTCTCAAGACTTTTGAGCCAGTAATGCTCTTGACCAATCCAATGGCCTCGACATCTCTCAAATAAGCGCCGATTTGTGATGGTGGCATACCCTTCTTCGCCAATTTGCACATCTCTTCAATCACCTCCAATGAGGTCTTCTTTTGCCACGCCGGTGCGGTTCTACGGTATGGAATACATCTCCTGCTGATACCTTTCCCTCTGCTATACATTCTACTTGTCACATTCACTCTTCTATTCGTGGCAAAACAACAAACCTTCCCATGGCTAAGACTCGGTGTAATTTCTGAGTCCTTCCTCTTAAAAACCCTTCTCAACCCTTTTTCTTCGTCTTCTTGTTTAACTTATTCTATAGTTGTTTTACTAGTATACTACTAGTTTATATTTTTTTATATAAAGTTGGTGTTATTCGATTGTATGACATCAGGATGTTATATTAGTTAATTGATTAATTCTCTTATTATAATTTTTAATTAACAAAAAAAAAACATATATAATAGTAATGGTATTATAAAATATAATAAATAATAAAAAAGAATAAATGTATTACAGACAAGCGTACAATTACTTGAAGTTCTTTGGTTCGGGCGCCCTGTGATCGAACATCTGCTGTGACTCCGTCAAATTCACTCCGTCTAATTTTTCATCGATCAGTTCAAACTTTTCGTGGTGGGTTCCATCATTTTTGAGATTCTTCCCGTTACCCAATAACGGGGATGTGTTCAACACGAGTGGTGGAACGATAAAGATACACCCCAATGTGAAGAAAAAAAGGAAGTAATAATCCACAAGAATATCTTTCATTGCAACACAAAAGGCAATGATCCAAAACAGCACTGCGAACACTGTCGATGTATACACCAAACTTGTTGCGTTAATAAATTGTTCTACTTTAAACTCATTGACCTGTTTCATCCACCTTTATTGGTTTATGAAATAAAGTTTGAATAACTTTGATTAAAAATAAAAAGAATGAACAATTAATAATACTATAATAATGGTTATCGATAGAAAATGGTAACTGGTTTATAATAAATAAATTTTTAGTATTTATAATAAATACTAAAAATATCAATACATTTACTTTACAAATAATAGTATAATTAATAGTAAAAATTCCAGAAAAACTAGTTTGGAGTTGTATTTCTGTTAACACTCAATTTGATACGAAAACAAATTTGTTACATACGGACAAAGTACACGTTATTGGTGAGACTCACAACTTGGTTCCAAGCTGACGGTTTCAGTTCTGTGTTTAAGTTCTGGGACTTCACAGCCAGAGAAATCCTTTTTGTGAGAAGCTACGAAATTTGGGTCTGACACAATAGGGTTCTCGTCCCTTGGGATATTGTTTTCTTTGCGGACTATCCTTCGAAAATGAAAAGTCGGACAAAAGCTGTCAAGTCAGTCCAATGTATTCAACACACCACGGTGACAAACTTCTTGAATGAGAAATATGGAAGTGCAATTGGTCTTGCTATGTCAGACATCGAAGGGTGTGTTTTTCAGTTTGCACTCTTCATTGGATTATTCACTCAATTCTTTCTTGATTCATGTAACTAGTAAGTATAGTTCTTATTAATTAGAATCTATACTTTTTCCTTGTGTCTGTAAAAAGAGACACCGCTGGCATTTTTCTGTCAGCATTTATTTTTAGAGCAATCTCAGAATTATTTTTTTGGATTAACGTTTCTGGTTCAAAACAGCAGTTTTTGTATTAAAACGATGGTTAACAAAAATATATTATTAATATATAACAATATATTGTATAATAAACAACTAAAATAATATATCGTTTTTTGTAGTTGTATTATTACCCAACTCAAAAGGAACGTTTTAGAATATAATCCGATGTTTTGAAGTTTTGTTGTTTTTCATTGTCAATTGACGATTAAAACCCGTTTTATCACGCTATACAAAACTGTTAGTAAACAGCAATCATCTAACCCTTTCTGCAAATTCAGGAAAGTTGATTTGTGAAGTCTCTTTTTTTCATTTTTGATTGCTATTTCTTGCTTTACATTTGCTTTTTTATAATGTTTAATTTTTAAACACAAATAATTTATTGATTATTTATTAAAAATTAATAATGGTAATAATTGGGTTATTCCATTGACTTTAATTTCTCATTGTAAACAATATTAATTATAATTTAACAAAATAAAGTAATTTATTATAATCTATTTTATATTATGGTTAAACATTTAAAAAAGTTACAAAAACATAAAGCACTGATTTCTAATTCTTTTCTGGATTTTCATATGTTTTGGATAAGCCCAACTTCGACTCTACACAAAACACTTGTACCAAAGAACAAAAACACACTTATTGAGGTAAATTATGGTATTTTTTGTAGAAGTAGCTTGTGGTCGCCCATCCAATAAACGGATGTGCTAAGAGCTCTTTAGCTGACAACCTTTGTTCTGGTTTGTAGTAGAAGCACTGAGAGACAAAATCAATGAACACGTTGTCCCAATACTTGATTCTTCTCAACCCCATGGCCCCATTGGTGACGGTTCTAAATAACAACTTGACGATTCCATCTTCTCTGTACGGGCTCTTTCCTTCTGCCAGCTCTTGCGTCACACACCCAATACTCCATATATCAACCTTCTCGTCGTACTCCTTCTGCAAAATAACTTCAGGTGCCATGTATTGCTTTGACCCGGAACGGGTGTGCGGCTTAGACTCGACGCGGGTGACAAGTCCGAAATCAATAAGTTTCACTCCTCCATTTTCGTTCATCAAAATATTGGCCGGTTTGATATCTCGATGTATAAAACCTCTCTCATGGATGTACGCCAACCCATTTAACACACTTCCGATGACATACGCCACGTCGCAAAGCGCAAACACATGATCCTTGTTCTTCACGACCGTTTTGACACTGCCTGCATTGCACATCGGCATCACTATATACACACGATTCTCATACAACCAACACTTCTCGATCCCAATCAAATACTCGTTTTTCCACGTCGCCATCCGCGCAATCTCTTGCCCTATTTTTGTGTATCTTTCTGATATGGAGTGTTTCAACACTTTTAAAGCAACAAAACGACCATCGCTCTTCATCTGCGCCTTGAACACCTCTCCAAACCCACCTTTCCCAACTGATTCCAACCGACGCAATTCCAAAAATGGATTTGATGATGTCACGTACTGCATCAGGTCGTCTTCGGGATACTCTTTCGGAGGGTCGTCCAGTTTTTCCTTCTTCTGGTACTTCTCGTTCATGTAATCGACCTTTTGTTGTCGTGTGGCGTATTTCTTCTTTCCAATGTACTTGAGCACTTCGCACAGCTCATCAAAGTGTTCCAGACATTCTTCGGGGTATAGCTCATCCTCTTCGACAAGCTGCATTGCATAGCTTGATAGTTCCGACAGTCTCCCGGCGTTCATGTCGTTTACAACGCGAGGTGGTGGGACAACTCTATGCCTACAATTTGAAAGAAGCTTAAACGCCTCTTGTAAGTCGTCTGGTGAAAGAACAAGAAGCACCTTTTTAAGGTTCGAAGTAATATGCAAAGAATTTCTTCTCGAAATAGTTACGGTTGAGTCCATCGGAATAATGATGCATGGAATAGCACATCTCTTGTACGAGACAGTGACAACTCCATTGTAAATAGTGAATTCCAAAGGGTCGGTTCTTCCCCTAAACGTACAGTCAAAAACCCTAATCTTCTGTCTCCAGTCCAACGCCAAAAAGTCCTTTTTAAAAAGTGTTCTGATGCTTCTTGTGAGTGCTCTAAAAATTGTGTAGAGTGTGTTGTGGTCACTCACGTTATTTGCGCGAATGTACATATTTCTCGTTGAATAAAATTCAACTTTGATAATGGAGACTTCTCCAGAACGCATGATGTATGCGCAGTCGAACATTGAAAAGAGTATTTCCTCGGAGGTGGGCCCATCGGGGGTGTGAAATGAATTTTCGGGATACACCGTAAGAGTACGATCGGAAAAGTTAAAGTGAAGGATGGAATGTGTCAGTTCCGTTGTGTGTGTCCCCACCGCGGCGTAGTAAAATGATTCCGAAATCAAGTCTGGTTGAATGGCTCGGTGGTCAACAAGGGCCATTTTTCTATTTTTTAGATTACTCTTATGTTTGTTCATTCCAACATACCTAATCTCCCGATTAATCATGTTTTTATTATTTCTTATAAAATACATTATTATTTTTTGTTTTTTTATCTACAAAAACTTCATATTCCCGATTTATTACACATTAATTGAACTTTTTAACACTTACTGATGAACTTATTTTTAATATCGTTTTTTTATTAGTAAATTTTATTATTGTTCTTGTTATTTAATAATTTGATTATTTTTATATAGAATAAGTATAGTAAAAAACACTTTTTTTATATTTTTTTTGTTTTTTGGGGCTTTTTTAAAATGATTAAATATTCATTATTTTTAATCTATACTAATAACTATAAATTGATTTACCTTCAAATTTGCACCCATCTCATAATAATACAATAATTATTATTGAAAAATTATTATATTTTAATAATTCCACCAAAAAAATGAATAAAAAAATAAAAAAAATGACTACACAACCCATAAAAAAAATATCTTTCACCAACACAAAATTAATAACAAAGAAACTTATACGAACTCAAGTGATTGACCACAAAAAAAAAACAATAGAACTCCTAAAATTAAGCAAAATAAGTTCTCGAAAAATCATAAAAAGGAAGAACTTTAAAAAAAAGCAACTGAAATTATATTTTTCAGTAAATGCGAGCGTTAGCGATATTTACATTGATTGTCTGCATCAACGCGTACCCATTCTTTGGTGTGAGTTACATGGAAAAAGAGGTCGCCGAGCAACGAGTATGTATGATAGAGACACAAATCGAACACTTGGAAGATGTTAGAAGAAATCTGTTGGATGCACTTGATGCCTCATACGAGGATTTGTTTAACGCTGGGTGCTCGAGGGCTCGGAACCATTTGAAACGCGTCATCACAAAATTAAGGAAAAGCGTCGTGAAGGTCGACAAAAGAATTAAAAAGACCAGACACATCATTAAGAAGGTCATCAAAAGACTTAACCCCCGCGCAAGAAACGAGGTCATCAGAAACTGCAAGGTCGAAAGAAGACTTATGCACAGCCATCTTTTCTAAGAAACTTATTTGCTTCTTTTCTTTTTCCTTTTTGGTAATTCATCCCTTTTTTCGTTCCGCTTTTGATTGGCCTCTCAATCTCACATTTTTGATATACCTCTCATTTTTGTTGTTTTTATTTTTTATTTGTTGTTATTGGATTGACAGACAGGTGAAATAAATGCTATTCATCGGGAAATGCCCAATAAATACAAAACACATTTGGTAATTCTTTCGAAGTATTATTTGAGAAAACAAGAAGTTGTTTTTTTCTTGCTTTTCTTTTCGGCATTTTATTTTTTGTATTACCATTTATTAAATTCTTTTAATGAAAACAATACAAGATTGGAGTTATTGCACAATCTCCCATTATTTTTTTTTCAAAATCAACTCAATTGTTTTATATTAAATATTTCTAGTATAATTATCATTAATTTACTATATTTTTTCATACACTAAATACTTTTGATATTAAATCATTATTAAACTATAGAATTAGTAAAATAAAGAAGTATAAAAATATTTAACGTGTTGTTTTTAAATAACGAATCATGTTTGAATCAACTAACTTAAACCATCAAATAAACTCATTAATTATTTCAGTGTTTTCGTGTGAATATTTCGTGTTGAAGGCATTGTGCTGCGGAGAATCTTTTTTCTGGATTTCCGAGGAGCATATTTTGCATGAGATCCACCACTTCTGGTGAGACCTTAGTGAATTTAGCTCTTGGGATGAATTCCCCCTTTATTATTTTTTGCACGAGTTCGGAGCTTTGCATTTTCATATCGAATGGGAATTGGGAAGTGAGCATCATATATACCATGACTCCGCAGCTGTACACATCCATTTTAGTACCATCATAAGTTTTTCCCGAATACAGTTCTGGTGGGGTGAAGATTTGAGTGCCACAAATGGTTTCCGCCCTCGAGTTCTTCCCAACCGTTCTTCCCAGTCCAAAGTCGGAGACTCGAATTTCGTACCCACTTCCTGTCCACATGACATTCTCCAATTTTAAGTCTCTATGAATAATACCTTTAGCATGGAGATACACTAAGGCTTCTAATACTTGTTTCATAATAAGTAATGTCACTTCCTCGGAAAACCCCGTCTCGTTGATATCTCGAATGATCTCTCCAAGACTATTCTGCAATTTCTGTTTCATCGCTGGGTCGGTCGTAGCCTTCAAAGTGTTTTCAAGTGTCGTCACCTCTTGTTTTCTTGTGTCTTCGTAGTGTTTGTGTGAAAGAATGATGGCTTGAAATAAGTTGCCACCCCCAATATATTCCATGACTATGTACACATACATTCGAGTCTCAAAAACGTCGTACAATTTGATGATAGAAGGATGGTCGACTTGTCTTAAGATGTCACACTCTCTTCGAATCAAATTGTCTTCTCCCTTCTCGCGCGCACTTGAAATGTCAATGATCTTCATCGCACATATTTTGCCTGTTTCGATGTTACGAACCTTTTTGACAACACCAAAGTTGCCTTTCCCTAAAAACTCCAAAAAGTCGTATTTGGTCTGTGCCCCTCCTAACTCGATCTCTTTGCGTTCAAAGTCGTTGTCAATAAAAGTGTATGTCACACATTTGTCTTTCATGGCTTTTGGATCAAGAAGAGTAATCTCGTCGTACACGCGCAGAACTACAGATTCACCTTTCTGGATGTGGCGTTTGTTGAGGTAAGTCCCATTTGTGGAAAGATCTTCCAACTTAAAGATGGCCTCTTTACCAATGGTCTCACGTTCAATTTTACAGTGACGGGAGCTAAAGTTCGGGTCAGTCAGTTTACAAACTTTGTTGTTACGACCTATTGTGGTCACACTCGTTGTGAGGAGGACGTTTGGGTATGTGGGGGTGAGCGATTTTAAATATCCCCAAGGTTCCATGTTATCTTTTGAGTTTCATTAGTTTTTAGTTCGTAAATTTGGAAAAACTTTTGAAAAATTCGAAAATTATAATACTCAATAATTCTTTTTATTACATTATAAAAAATAAGTTAATTTTTATTTGTTGATTGTGTTTTTTATTATCAACTTTATTGTTTTATTTAATTTTAGAATTCTTTTTGAGGAATTAAATTCTTTTTTGAGGAACCTCATTTTTTTGGGTTGAGGAATTATATGATTATCAGATAAGTTGATATTGTGATTGTATGTTGGAAACAGTAAGAGTGTTGAATTGTTATGACTATTGATAATAAGAAAATATTATCCACATAAAACATAGTAATATCTGAAATGATAATTTAATTGATGTGGCATCAATTGCAAAGACTTAAACACAAGTTGTATAAAATGAAAACAAATTTAATAAACCCAATTTGATCATTGAAATATATTTTAATTAATATAATTATAATTGTCAAAGCATTTTTTAAAAAATGATTAACACATATATAAAAATACAAGTAAATTTTGGACTTTGAAAAAATAGTTAAATAACTTGCCGAATATGCCCGCAAATAGCACTTGTGTTTGACACAATTGATAAGAACAAATAAATATTATTAACCACCTTTCCTCTGATTTTAAATTGGTTAATTTCCCAACATTTCATTGTTATACAAGTCAAATATTTCAATAATAATTTATACGTCTTTTCTAAATAATTGATCAGATACCACATTATTCAATATGCCATAAAATAATTTTGATATGTAAAAACCCGATTATTGGATCTATACAATTGTTAATTATTAAATATAACCAAATCATTAATTACTATAACGGAAATTTGTCATAAAACGCCTTAAGCAACACTAAAACATGATTTATTGGTTGCACTTTCAGTTGAATAAATACAAATAAACGGCCACGTCTCAAATTTGTGTGATATTCAGTCGTTGCTGTAGCCTCGGTTCGTTCCTTTCGAAAAGGACGCAAGGTTTTTCCTTGACCGCTTGTGCCAAAAATTCGCTTATTTTTTTCCCCGACTTTTCGATGTCATCTCTTTGAATGACCTGTCCGTTTGTACATACAATTGATTCAATAATTTCATGTGGGGCGGTTCCAACTTTTTTCGACTCAATAATCCATGTATATTTATACCCTAATTCTGAAAGAATGTCGATTAAAAAGTAATTCGTTTGTTTGATTCTATTTTTCTTCATTCTTTCAGTCGCAGTACTCTCTTTCACACCTTTTGATATTTCATCCTTCATTATGGAAGTGATCTTCTCCTCTACCATTTGCGAAAAGAGTACCGAGTCATTCACTGAAAAGGCGATTTGTGAGATGCAAACAAATGGAAGAGTCACTGAAGGTTTGACATTGCGCCGTTTAATCATCACTTCAGCATGCCGGTTGATTAAAACTATAAAAATCGCCTGCTCTAACATTTTCTGGTTCGTCACGTTTTTGTACTGCCGCAACCCACCGCGAGACTCGTGTGGCTTCGACATTTCAGTCTCTGCCTTTCAAGTTTCATTCAATTCATACAAATTAAACACTCTAGAAATGGAAATTCGTTATCATTTTTTTTAATATTTTATATAATATATTTGTTACTCGTGCTTGTGATACATGTTATTACAATACTATATAATGTTTTACGTGTTTTTAATTTATTTGTTAAATATTTAACATATATTTTTGGAAGTTGTGACTAACGAAAATCACATTTCAGGTGAAGGGCTGGTTCAGACGAGGTATATGTCTGATATTTTATAATTCAAATGATGAGAAAAGGTGGGAGTGACGTAAATTTATGGGTTTTCTATTTATAAATTTGATCGAAGTATTTATTTTTATAAGGAATAAAACATATAAACTGAAATAAAAATATTGGCACTTTCCCGATTTATTAAAAATACAATGAACTCTCATTAACTTAAACTAATATAAAATTGTTTTGATTTTGGAATTTGTGTTGTAAATTTTTGATTTGTCTCTAATAATATAATATAATTTATAATAATTATAATTAATTAAAGGTAATGTTTTAATTTTAACCATCAATTGAATTGATAGAGCAAAAATCAGTTATATTTCTTGTAATATTAAATCAAAAAGAAAAACACTTATTTGTAATAATAAATTAGTTATTATTACTAAATAATACAATACACTTTTGGGACAATGTTGATATAAACTACAATAATATTCATTTTCTTTGATAAATCCCGATCTAATAAATTTTATTTAAATAATATAAATATTTATATCAAAAGTGCTGAATGCCAAACAATTATATTAAATTTCTAAAAACATTTTCAACGTTAATGTTTGTGAAAAATAGTTTGAATAAAGCATTTATTTTCGTTTTGAAAAACAAAATGAAAACCAATTTCTTTCAAGTGTTTTTACAGAGTTTTTATTCGTTACAACGAAATTGTTCAAAGTTTGGACGCTATTAAGTTTTTTATTTATATAATTGTGTATATTATAAATTTTATATTAAATTTTAGTTTATTTTTGGAAAATATAAAATCCACTTTCAATATTCAATAATAATAAACAAGAAAAAAAATAAACTAAAATAAAAAACAAATACTTAATCGAATAATAAATTCTACAATGAGTTTTGTTAGAACACTGTATTACAAACAACAATAGTGTCTCTGTATATGTTTGTATATTAATAAAATTGTTGTGCATATAATTGAAATTGTACAATCAAAGAGGTCAACGAGCAAAGACTTTTTTATTATGTTTCGTTGTTATGGATAGACAGAGATGGACCACAACATTATTGAATGTATTTTGAATAAGTTTACAACAATCAAAAACAATATCTATACATCTGAATTTTTCCAAAATATTTCAAGTTCTAATACGTCATTAGTTCCATATCAATCAAAATGAGGTTTAAAATAAACTATAAATTACTAATAAAACAAAGTATCGTTATAATAGAAAAAGAGCTATACAAAAAGCTATTTGTGAGATAAAAAAAGTGAATATGAAATGGAAAAAAACTTCAAGAGGAGAATCTCGAAAAAGAAAAAGAGATGACTGAGGCATTAGAGAGTTCATACATCAAGAAAGTCATAGTTCACCCTTTAGTCCTTCTATCTATTTCGGACCATCAGACCCGTGCAGCGAAAGAAGGCAAACGTGTAGTTGGTGTTCTTTTAGGATTCATTCGCCGCGGTGTTGTCGACGTCATGAACTCGTTTGCCGTTCCCTTTGATGAAGATGAAAAGGATCAAATATGGTATTTAGATCATCAATACTTAGAAACGTTATATCGAATGACTCAGAGAGTCACTGGTTTGTTATAGTATAATTAATAAGAATGAATTATATAATACGAATGAATTAGAATAGTTTAATCAATAGCAAAAGAAGTGTTGGTGGGGTGGTACTCGACGTCAGACAAAATCAAGCAATGTGATATTCAAATTCATACTGTCATACAAAAATATACAGCACACCCGATCTATTTGACTGTCGACGTTTCAAATAATGTGTCACACGATTTACCAGTCCACTCGTACGTCTCCGCAGAATCACTCGCTACAACTCAAAACATTTTACTCCAACCGGAACTTTCACTTCGTTTTGTCCACATCCCAACTGACGTCAATTTCGATGAGTCTGAAGTCGGCGTCGAAAGACTTCTAAGGGATTTGCAGAAACCTACTGGAACCGTTTTGAAGCATGAAGTCCAACTGAAAATTGATTCCCTCAAAGCTCTTGATGAGAAAATTAAGGTTTGTTTTAATTACTCTTCTTGTATAGTGATGATTGAATATGAAACAAGACTTACAGTCAGGTGATGAGAGATTACTTGGCCGCGGTAGAGTCTGGGAAGATCCCCGTGAATCAAAAAATCATTCAAAATATTCAAGACATCTTCAACTTGTCGCCAAACATTGAAAAATATACAGAACAGTTCTCAGTGAACATGAACGATGTAATGGTCACCGTCTATCTCTCGAGTTTGGTCAAGACCGTCTTGTCGATTCACGACTTAATTCGCAACAAGAACGACAACGAATTTAAAATGCGACAAGAAGCAGAGGAAAAGAAGAAGGAGAAAGAGAACCCTGAGAAGGAAAAAGAAAAGGAAAAGGAGAAAGAAAAAGAGAGTGATGGGGAGGATGATGACGACGACGATGACAAAATCGACAATGACCAGATTTGAAAGTAAGCCAAAGTGCAGTATTGTTTGATGGCAATTTGAATAACAAAAATTGAATAACAAAATAAAATAATAACATTTTAAATAACATTTTTAGTGGATTGAGAAAAAAGGAATGGGAAACTGGAAAAGGTATATGGCCTGCAAAAGCACGAAGATATCGAGGTACATTGGATACACAATTAAAGTCAACGCATACGAAGGAAAG